CCCAATCACAAAAACAGACCTCTAAATGCCTCCTATCTTTGAAAGTCCATCTCAATCTTTCAAAATGCTCATTGCAGCCTACAGTGTTCACTTTTCTTTAGAATCCTTGTAATCTGCGTCATATATTTAAATTACACATTGGGAATCCAGCATGTTACTGGCATCAAAATCAAACAGGCTGGAGTTTTCAGTAGCAGCATTTCTCTAAGCCTCAATTTCCTCAACTATAAAAATGGGTATAAGAAGAGTTCAGCACCCTTCCTCAGAGGGTTGTTAGGCTGGTACAGAATGAGCACTCCATAAATATCAGCTATTTTATGTTGTCAACCATCATCCTCTAGCTTATTGTTCACATATTAAGAGCTCAGCAAGATTCCAGCTCTTGAGGGAGGAGACTACATCTTATAAACATGTTTTAAAAAATACATCTTAACAGAATTAACAGTCGGGGCCGACTCGACGGCAAACAACAACAACAACAACAGAATTTATGACTAAATGGCACAACACTTTCAAAGAAATGAAGGTAAGGGGGGGAATTGTGGAAAAATTACAGTGTGCCAGTAAACAAAACAAGGAGACCTGATGGCAAAGTGGTTAAAGCATTTGCTGCTAACCAAAAGGTCAGCAGTTCAAACTCACCAGCTGCTCCACAAGAGAATGATGTGGCAGTCGGCTTCCATAAAGATTTATAGCCTTGGAAAGTCTATGGGGCAGTTCTACTCTGCCCTGTAAGTTTGCTATTAAGTAGGAATCTACTCAATGGCAGTGAGTTGTGTTGTAAGAACTAATTTAAGAGTTAGGAAACATTGACTTCACTACACATTTACCAAATGCTCCATTACGGACCATGTGTAACTTAGTTGTTGTTGTTGTTGTTGTTGTTATTTGCCGTCGAGTCGGCCCAATAATTTGTGTGGTAGAACAAGAGCACCTCACTGCAGAAGTTACCTCAACTTACCAAATAAATAGTAAAGCTATCCTAACACATATATTCTGCAATTAACAGAGATGCTTCTTCACAGAAACAATCAACTGTGGACTATGTCATGAGAAGGGAAGGTATCACAGAAGGTCTTTAAGGAAAGAGTAAGTACTTTTATAAGATGCTATAAAACAGATTGGGAGCTCTGGCGGCATAGTGCCTAAAGCATTTGACTGCTAACCAGAAGGCTGGTGGTTCAAATCCACCAGCCACTCCTCAGAAGGAAGATTGGGCAATCTACTTCCATAGTGATACTGCCTCGGAAACCCAAGGAGGGGTCGCTATAAGTCAGGTCCAACTCCATGGCACATAACAACAACATAAAATAGATTATCAATAATGTGCAAGTGTCTGTGAGGTCTCCCTCGTTGCTGTTCTTCTAAAACTTCCAAGAAATTTTACCTTGGGTTTATAAACAGAAAGAAACATTCTTTGACAGGTGTGGGAGGGGAAGGAGAAAAAGTAATGAGCTAAAAAAAAATAAATAAATAAAAAATTAAAACTTGGGCTCAAAGTGGAAAGAGCTGGGTTTTTCCCAGCTGTGTCACTATACAAACTTACACAAAGCAGAGATGAACAAGGTTTGTCGTAAGCAACACACCAACCAAAGCTTTAATGCACTGTCCCTCAGGTCTCTGTTAACTCATTACCAATCTAAGCAAAAACCTTCTTTGTAAATTTATATGAAAAATAAATAGAATGCCTTGTGACCATGTATAAGCATTCTATTTCACTCCTAGAACTCTGGACAACTCAAGGGTGTATTTTTTTTATTAAGTAGTAACAAAATGGAAGAGTTAAAAGGGTCCTATCAACTAAACAGAGAGAGAGAGCTCTTAAATTACAATGGAATTTCAAATGGGGATGGATTATTTCATTCAACAATATTTACTGAGTGCTTCCATGTCAGGCAGTTGTAGTTGCAGAGGATACACACACACACACACACATTCAAATGGGGATGGATTATTTCATTCAACAATATTTACTGAGTGCTTCCATGTCAGGCAGTTGTAGTTGCAGAGGATACACACACACACACACACACACAACTCACTGCCATCAAATCAATTCAGATTCACAGCAACCCTACAGGACAGAGTAGAACTGCCTCATAGGTTTCCAAGGCTGTAAATCTTTTCTGAAGCAGACTGTCACAACTTTCATCCACGGAGGGGCTTTCATCCAAAGGCTGTCAGTCCTTTGGTTAGCAAGCATATGCTTTAGCCATTGTGCTACCAGAGCTCCTTCAGAGGATACAGCAGCAAATAAAAGACAAAAGTATCCGTCTTTATAAAGTTTCAGTTTAATGCGGTGGGTGGGGTGGAGGGACACTGATAAACAAACAAGTGATTATATAATACAAGGAATGGTGCTGTGTTGTGGAGATAATAAAACAGGAGGAGGATAAAGAGCCAAGGGGTTGGGGTTGTAATCTTATATTGGGGGTTCAGGGAATGCTTCTTTAAAGAAGTAGCATTGAAGGACATGAGGAACTGAGCCTCTGTAGGTATCCTGGTAAAGGACTTTCCAAGCAAAGGAAACATTATCTGCAATAGTCCTGAAGCAGGAGCTAAACGAAATTTCATGTAGATTTTTTGTAAAAAAATAAAATAAAAAACACCTGGATTGGAGTGCTAGCTCTATGCCCTTTACCAGCTGAGTAACTTTCAGGAAGAGAACAACTTTACTTGAACCTCAGTTTCTTCCTAACCTAAATTAAGGTTAGACAGTACCACGTACCTCACAAAGTTATTTCAAGAAATAAATATGATGATGTATAAGAACGCACTTCATAGCGCTAAGGGATTACTACCAAGTGCGTGTTCTAAGGGCTGTGAAAACTTTAGTAAAAGCTCTGTTGGTTTCACGCTACAATCTTTGACGAATTAACAATCAAGTTCGCTTCCACGTACGTTAAATGAAAACGGTGCCTATCTCAGAGAGACTGCTGTGGGGATTCCACAGGATAATCCACGTAAATACAGCGACTGACACAAAAACCCTCAAAACGTTAACGACCAATATTGCCTCTATATTGCTGTTATGCGCCATCAAGTCGGACCCCAGTCACACCGACCCCTCCTTCGGTTTCTGAGGCAGTATCACTACGAAAGTAGTCTGCCCAACCTTCCTTCCGAAGAGTGGCTGGGGGGGGGGGGTGTTGAACCGCCAACCTTCTAGTTAGCAGTCAAGTGTCTTAGGCACTACGCTACCAGAGCTCCCATATTGTATCGATAGGAGCTGCAAACTACTGAGTGGAGAGGGCTTCGCTGCCTGCTTTGCTCAGCTTGAAGGAGCTCAACAGACGTATTCTGAACACTGATTGAAAAGTAAAGTCCGTTCAAACATTTCGGACTAAGTTGTTGAAAAGTGCCTCCCCTATCCCCTGCACAATACTCTGCTGTGACATTTCTGCTTATAAATCACTTTTACGCTCTGAAACCCTTTTAACGTATGCATATCCCTCTTTAAAAGGTCCTGAAATTGAACTAAAATCAAATAGCTTTTCCCCAGAGGTTTGTAACAACCCTTGCTGGTTATCTTCTTCCAAACACAACCTCTTCAGAGCAGAAACGCTTCACTGACAGCCCACGCTAGACGCCAGCTTTTTATAACGACGTGATGACGTCACCGCGTGTCACTAGTGCGCAAACATGGCGGCGTGATCACGCCCAGGACTGCCCTAAGACCACCGCCGCTGCGCGGCCACAGTGCCTTCTCTGAAGAGTCCTGGGGAGGGCTTGGTGAGTCAAGTCGGATGATATTAGGGATCGGTGCTTCAACCGTAGAATAATGGCGTAGGTGCCTGCAAGGTCGGTGGGGAAGATGCTGTTTAGGAGAAAGAGCTGGGGTGGTGAGGGAAGTTCATCAATCCTTCGGGTAGGAGGGCTAATGACTCCGACAAAGATTCCGCTGGCTTTGATTCAGAAGGCAGAATTTGCCTTGGGGTTTGTCTGAAGTGCCAATGGCACGGGTAACAGAAAAAAGTTAACATGGACTTTCTTCCTGTAATTTCCCTAACGCTTGAATTAGTTGCCTCCATGTAAAACGAAACCTGCGATCTTAGCAGAAAATATATGTAAATAGACCTTAGCTGGCGAAGGGCGGAGCGATTGCTGTCCTCGGTGCTGAATAAATCCTTCTTTCAACGCGGGACATTCAGACTATTAGTAGACAGTCATGGTTAATTTCATAAAATTTAGGAAAGCCAATGCATTATGTTAGGAAGTAATTTCATTCTCCTGTCTTTCTCTCCCCTAGGTAAGGCTCCTTCAGCTTTTGCAGTTGGGCTCAGAGCCTTCAAAGCACTTTGCTAGACCTCTATCTGTATTGACACAGGCTCTTCAGCCAAGGTGAACTTGCTCAAAGTGTGTATAGAATTTGCCATGAAAATGGCATTTCCAAAGCTCCCAACATGAAAGGGCTGAACAGCCAAAGTAATGTGAAGGGACTAATTGTGTTTTTTTCCCACTGTTAGACTTGAAAAATACTTTCCTATTTGCAACAGAGATGGTAGAACTGGGCAGTCTTCCAATAAAGGATAGACCATGAGCTTCCAGTTGGTTCTCATACTTGTTTGCTTTTCTGTCTGTGTGTGTGTGTGCGCACATGCATAAGGGATGGTTTTCCTGTGTTGAATTTTATGAGTGGATTTTTTTTTCTTTCTGTTGATTCAATAAAGTGTTTACTAGTCTTAGTACCAGCTGCTTGTTTGTTTTAAATTTTGATTAAGGTTAGAGTGTGGAAAAAAGAGGGAGAAATGTGAAATACGTTGAATTTACCTGGGCTGGGATGCATCTGGCTCGCAGAAATCTATGTATTGTGAATAAAATGTTTTTAAATGCATTTTTTTCATTCCATACATTATTACATCTTAAGGTTAATTTTCTCTTCTGAGAGAAACAATGGATTGAGGTAGTAAACTATCAGATATTACAAAGCTGAGGATAAATGGCAGAAGTAACTTTAAATGTTTTTATTATTTAGCAGAAAGCTGAAAATCTGTTTTCATTAAAGATGACTTCCTTGTTTGCTCAAGAAATTTGCCTTTCTAAAAGGCATGAAGAAATGTAAGTTTTTGTTTTTTCTTTTCAGGATAATCTAATTATATGAATGGTACTGGTTTTATGAGTGAAACGTGTACAGAGGAAGATTTAAGTATCTGGAAGTTGTATTGTTTTAATTTTCTAATACTTGAGTTGATACATTTTGATAACAGGGAAAGTTACTGTCTCTTAAAAATAACAAAGATCAAACAGTATAATTTTGTTGTATATCTTTTTACTTTTTATTATTAGTATTTGATTAATTCACTGTCACCCCTTCCAAGTCTCCACATTGCTATTTAATGGATGGCTCTAAGCCTTGTACCCAGGACCTGCTTCATAGGTATGTGACCTGTTCAGTTACAGGGCCTGGCATTTAGCTCATTGCTCTAATGTTGCTGTCTTAACAGTTTTTTTTAACAGTTTCAATTTTGCACTGGGCCCTGTAATTAATGTCAGCAGTCCTATTCTTATATTTATTAGTAGCCATTTCCTTCTCTGCCTCTGTCTATGGATTCTCAAGTTTTCCTTTTATTTACTTAGTATTACCAGGCCCTCTTCCTTGGCCTTCTGTTTCCCTTATAAACATTATTATTCAAAGACCTGGGTTTTTAGGTCTACACTCACAAATAGTCCTATGAGACACAGTGTTTCTTGAGAGCTTCCACAACTGAGAAGTAGTTAGACTTTTACATATACCACTGACATAATTTTATCATATGATATATTTTTTATTAAGCATTTAAGAGGACTGAAATCTTATAAAACAAACATTTGAACAGTGAGAAACTTTTCAAGTATATCATATGTAATAAATTAATTAGTGCCTAAGGCATTTGACTGCTAACCAGAAGACTGGCAGTTCAAACCCACCAGCCACTCCTCCTAAGGAAGATTGGGCACTCTACTTCCGTAGAGACACCACCTAAGAAACCCAAGTAGGGGTTGCTATGAGTTGGAAACAAGTTGACGGCAGTGAGTTTGGGTTTGTTTTTTTTTCTTTTTAAATAACTTCTAACTTTTTACATCTTTCTTCAATTACTGTTTCACCTTATGAGTCTGCATACACATACACAGCCTCTCACTCATATAGCCAACCATCATCTTTCTCTTGGAAAAAGAAGAAAAATATTTTTATTGCTTCTTCAAACATATGGAAGTTTAGCACAATTCTAAATGTGTAACATGAGATTCAGGGGTACTGAAGTGTTAAGCAGAAGGTTTCGTATAGCAAGTTATATCAAAGTATATGTGTGGGGAGGTATATATAAGTATGTGTACAAAGGGATATGTATTGCAGTTTGCATTTTCACTAAAAGTTAAAGCTTATCTTCAACACCCTACAATCATTTCAAAAGACTGGAGAAGCTGAAAAACAGAACCATGTACTTACAGTATATATAAAGAATATGCTAATGAAAATAAAAATAATTTTACCCACATTGACTTAAGATGTATTGAACTTAGTTCATCGCGAAGTTTTTTTCCGTCTTTTTAATTGACAGAGTAATTGGCTTTCAAAATAAGTTGGACTTGTAGTAAGGTACAATTAAGAAATTACTTTGTTATATAGGGGAGGCAAGAAGATGTTTGTTTGCTTTTTTTTGTTGTTAACTTTATTTAATCTTCATTTTTTTTTCTAGAGTATCACAAAGATTAATGTTACTTCAACAAATGGAGAATAAATTTGGAGATCAAAACACAGAAAAAGCATCTCAGATTAAAGCAGCTGAGGCTGCTTATAAGAGGAATCTTAGTCTTTTAAACGTAAGTTTTCATAAGTTTAGCTTAGAGATTTTCTCAACTTTCCAAAAATGTGAATTTCATAATTTTAACTTATATCATTTTTTTGAGTAATAAATAAAATTAATGAAACAATATCTATTTTAAAACCCATTCCAGCTGAATGAATAGCATGTAGATTCTCGTGTAAAAATGGAAAAAACTAGTCTGCAGAAGCTCAATGTGTTCAGTTGGCTAGAAAATCAATGACTGTGGAAGGAACTTTAAGATCACCTGTGCAAGAAGTAAGAAATAGAAGTAGCTTTCCATCTTGCATCTTCTTTTGTTTGATAGGAGATCCTAAAAGACCATAAAGTAACCATAATGTATTTAGATCTAACTCTAAACTATTTAACATCATAAAGATAAAGACAATTTGATTTTGCCCTCTTGGGGCCACAGTCAACACAAAAAATTCAAACCTAAGATAACGTATTTCCCACATCCCTTATGATGATGATGGAGGAGGTGGTCAAAGTGTATGATTGTGCAGGGCTTCCCCATTTGGCCAATGTGCCCACTTGGAGTAAAATCATATGTGTTACATTTTTGGCTGCTTGCTGTACTTTGCTTCCAGAATTGTATGACTTCATCCATAATTAAAACCCTAAAGTTTGCTTCCATTCGAGCTTCCAAGAGATCCTATGACTACAACATTTGGTAGTAAGACTATATTATTTAAGTTATAAAGCAGTGTTTTCAGTTTTTTATTGTTAAATATTTTCATCGATAGGCATAATATAGTTATATTCTCTCCTCACTAAAGAATAAAGGGAGAGGAAAATTCAGTTATCTTCTCAGCTTCTGGCAGTTTGATCCACAGTAATTTAAGTCACAGCCATAGTGCTACCAAAGCATTCTATATTGCCATATGTCTTACTTGCCCAATGGTGTTTGCAATATTTATTTTTAAATGGAAATATATAGGATAATTTGGAATTTGCCATGAAAAGTCAGAAAAACTGAATTAGAAAGCTTGATTGCTAGCTATCTGCAGCCAGTGATATTTGGTTTTCAAGTGTCTTCCTTTTAATTACAAAGTAGTTCATGGATGCCCAGAAGGCCCTTCATATTGAACTAGCTCTGGTTAGAAAGTAAGAAGAAGAAAATACATATAAATCAGCATTTCTTTATATTAAGCTTAGTTGATGACTTAAGGCTTGTCACACAGAAAACTTGAGACCTTATGTGATCAAACATTAAATAACATAGAATAGACTCAGTGCTATAGGAATTAAAAGATCTCTAAGAGTAGAGTATTCTAAGAGGCCTCAGAGAAGAGGCTAGACTCGAGCTGTGTTTGAAGAGGCAGAAAGCAAGGCAGGCATTCCATTGGATTCTTTTCAAGATAACCAGTACCAGAAGAATGAGTGGCCATGTTAATGTCTGTGTTAACTAACTTGGAAAGTCACAGGGACAAGGCTGGATATGTATTGTGGTGCTAAACTAAGAAGTTGAACCTTGATATGTAGAAATACTATAATACTGAAAGTGTTAGAGCAAAAGAAAAATAAAGTCTTACGTAAGAAATATATCAGTGGTGATATAAGGAACACTCATTGGCTATTTAAATGCAAGGTCATTTCAAGAAAGGAGAAGGAGTTGAGGGTAGCTAACAAATCATTATATCAAGAAGGAAGATAATAAAGCTGGTTTCATAATCATGAGAAACTTCAGTTTGATGTGGAATTGTTTTGATTATCAAAGTAATATATCCTCATTGTAAAAAACTTGAAAAGGTAAAGACCACTAAATAGCACACTGTACATATCATCCCTCCATCTAAAAATATGTATATTTCCTTTCAGTATTTTTAATAAATGTTTATTGAGCACCTAATACATGCCAGACAAAGTACTTGCTTCTAGGGATGAAGTCTCTTCCTGTATTTTTTATTTTCTATTGTTTCATTCTTCAAATTATATGCACTACTTTATCCTGCTTTTTCTCTTATTTGTTAAAAACAATTCAGAATAGACTTGACAGCAGTTAACAACAAAGGCCTTGAAAACCTATGGAGCACAGTTGTCCTCTGCATCAACTCCATTGCAGCTCACAGCAACAACTAGAAAATTCATTTTGAAAGTAAAATCTTTAGCACTTGGTTACAGAATTTTAAGTTGGTGTACTAGATTGAGCTTGATTAGATTCTAATCTAATCTAATCTTTAGATTAGATTCAGTTCTAATCTAAAGGTTGAGATTAGATTTTAATAGTAAAGATTAGATTAGATTCTCATCTAAAGTCTCCCCATACCCCAGCCCCTGCTTTTTTAAGCATAAAAACTGTTTCCAAAGATAAATGGATAAATGTGGACTTTTTGGATATAAGGTCCCATTCCTTCAACCTTTGCTTGCCTGCCCTCCTGTGGCTCTAAGGAACACTTTGTAAAAACCAGTGATCTAGGCTAATCCTTTAATTCAGAGATGAAGAAACCATAATGTTAATATTCCTTCTCAAGAACAGGTTAATTTACATCTCAAATATGTGTTTCACAAATAAACCTTAAAAATGATTCCATTAAGGCATGGAAGCAGTCCGTATACAGATGGTAACAGAATAAGGATGTGCTCTATCACTATTCATTACATGACCTTATTTAGATGTTCTGACCAATATAATAAATGCTAAAGAGAAATGAGCTTTAGCTTTTGGAAAGGAAGAGTGAACACTAGCATTTTCTAATGATATGATTATCTAATTTACTTAGTAAAGCTGAAGTTGTTTTAAAACTAGTATATGTTGAGTAAAATTAATGGATAAAAGATAAACACAAAAATCAATAGCAATCTTATTTATGTATTAAAAAAAAACCCAAACTCACTGCCATCTAGTCGATTGCAACTCATAGCAACCCCTGCTTCAGTATGTGAGGCAGTACCTCTATGGAAGTAGATTGCCTAATATTTCTTCCGAGGAGTGGCTGGTGGAGATCAAATTTATATTAGCAATAAAATTATCAAATATTTGAAATACACTTAATAGAGGATATGCATAATCAGTGTACAATTACTGCATTTTAATGGAAGATTTAAAAGAAAGTTTAAACAGATATATGCCTTCATGCTGACTGAGGAGACTATTATTTGTCTTAAATCTATTTTTATAAGCTTATTTTTAGATTGAATAAAGTCCCAACAAAATTGGCATAGAACTCAAGACAGTTTCTCTAAGTTCAGTTGAAAAATCAACTGGCAAATATATCAAAGAATGTTTTTAAAAGAGAAGGAATGAAGAACAGACTAACCCCATCAGATATTAAAACACATTAGTGTATGAATATTGACACAGTGTCTACAACAGTGGACTCAAACATAGCCACACCTGAGGCCGCTGCAGGACTGGGCAGTTTCCCTTCTGCTGTATGGAGGTCACTATGCGTCAGGCTGACTTGTCAGGACCTAACAATAAGTGTAGGAATGCATATGGATATGCACAGTGAGAAATCAGTCAGATTCACAAACATTTTGCCAGTCATTAAAAACCATGAAGGACAGTGCATTTTGAAAACATAGGTAAATGACTTTACCCTATTAATATAAGTAAAATGAAACTTACCTGCCTTTTTAAAAAATAAGTATAGTTGGTATAGATTTGGAAGAAGAAGGGAGGATTTTATTTCTGTAATTATTTCATTATAAAAACTGTCATCCCTCCCAAATTTAGTTTTACCCAGAATTTTGGGCTAACTAGCACCATCTCATGAAGGAAGATAAACAAACACTGTAGGGTGAGAAAGAATGGGAAAGGTATAGAAATTAGAGACACAATGCTTCCATTGAGGGGTGTCCTGGAAGCCTTCATGGTGCAGTTGGCAGGTAAGCAGGGCTTTCAACAAACTGCCACCCAGGAGGGCCAGTGACTTATAAGACCACATGTCTCTTCTCTCCGCTATACATTTCTCACTTTCTGTAATTCATTGAGGGCACAGTGACAGAATAAGTTTAATAAGCTTATTTTTAGATTAAATAGGGTCCCAAGAAAATTTACATAGAACTCAAGACACTTTCTATAAGTTTACTTGAAAATAAACTGGCAAAAATATCAAAGGATGTTTTTAAAAGAGAAGGAATGAGGAACAGACTAATTGTGTGTTCAATCAAAATACTTCAGTGTGCCTTGTACCAATGACCCTGTATGTCATTTTTTTTTAATGTCATTTTGTCTATCTCAGAAATTGGTGCTTTGGCAGATTAAAGATTAAAACAAGTTTGGCCACAGTTGGGTTCACTATACATATATAAATATGGTGAGATAGATAATGGTGGGGTAGGGGAGGAGGAGAGATCTCAGCACATTACTTTTTGTGCTCATATTTTACCTTTCCTAATCATGAGTGGAATCACTTAAATATAGGCTTCTGAAACCTGCTACATTTTATTCTCATTTAATTGCTAACTATTTATATGAAAAGAAATTTTCCCTCATGGATTATCTAATTACACTTAAGTATAGATAGGAAAAGACGTACTGAGTACTTGATTCGTTCCTTTTATTTATTTTTCAAAATAATTGTCTGGTCCTCTAGTATGTTCCAAAGGTGACCTATGAGGTGGTAGTGGGGGGGGGGGTTTAATATTTCTGGGATTTGTATGTTTCAATCCATTGCAATTTTTATTCTTATTGATGCTCAAATTGTCCCATCTTTGCCAAGTGGGAGCCCCTTTAATATGGCTCCTGAATGTCTTTGACATGATCCTAATAGCCTTGGACAGTTTCTTTTCTTTCTAGTATGTTTAGGTCTTTCAGTTTCATTGTGTACATTTGGAGCAATTATCCATTGCTTCAAAGAGCCCTGGATTTTGGCAAGTGTTTATTGCCTTTTTTTTTTTTTTTAGAAAATACATCAAGTGTTCATGTCAGTATTTGCAATTGCAATAAAGGATTGCAATTTTTTTTTAACTTACAGTAATGTGTCTTATATCTCAGTCTTCTTTTCCTCAAACCACAAATCTCAGTTCTCAAAGAATTTCCAACACCAACAGAACTAGTTACTTACTTTATTGTGTGATACAGACTTCACTAGCACCAACAACATAATTTGTTGATAATTATCATTAAGATTTTTTTTTTTTTGCAATTCTTTTTTCTAATACAGTATATTCCACTTGGAATGTTCAATCAAAATGCTGTGTTCTCTAAGATCACTTGATCTAGTTCTCTGTGGGGTAATGCACCAACTCAACAACAGTTCATTTGTTTCATTTTGTTTTCAATTTTTAGTGCTAGCTTTCTTATTTGTTCTATAACTATACAATGATGTAAATAGTCTTCTGGCAAATCTATAAAACAAGATATAGTCAGGAAGTCTAGCTTCTCTCTCCTTTCTTCCTTTTTCTCTACCTCCCTCTGGGTAACTTTTTTTTAAGTTGATAGTTTATACTCATGAAAGTTTTGATACCTTAGTATTTCTTTGTTTTTTTTAAATATTTAAGTGCCTACTATCCTGCACTTTAGTAGATCCTCTGATTCATAAAGATTGTATGGGATGTAGTCCTTACCTTCTAGCACTTTATGATGAAAGGAAAGGTTTTTGTATGGAAGTATAAAGGAGCTCTGGTGGTGTAGTGGGTAAGGCATTTGGATGCTAACCAGAAGGTCAGTGGTTCAAAGCCACCAGCTGCTCCATGGGAGGAAGATGGGGGAATCTACTTCTATAAAGATTTACGGCTTCGGAAACCCAATGGAGGTCACCATGAGTTGGAATTAACTTGATGACACTGGGTAGTGGGTATTAAGATACAACTTACTTCAGAAGGCTGAGGTCAAATTGCAGAGATTTTTTTCCCTCAGGGTAAGGAATTTAGATAATCATCCTCTGTGTAATAGTAGGTATCTATTACTTGTTTTAACTCTAAGAAAGGACATATTTAAAGTAGTTCTTTAGGAAAACTAGTGAATCCTATGTTAGGTATTTATCAAAGTAGGATGAGATATAGCCTATCCATGACAGTAATCAAAGTAGGATGAGATATAGCCTATCCATGACAGTAATCAAAGTAGGATGAGATATAGCCTATCCATGACATCTTTCAACAAGTTAAAGAAAGAATGTATTAATAAGGTCATAGCATTGGGAATGGAGACCATGGGTGGCACAGATGGTTAAGCTAACTGAAAGGCTGGCACTTCAAACCCACCCACAGGCACTGCAGAAGACAGACCTAGCACTCTGCTTCTGAAAGGTCACAGCCTTGAAAACTCTATGGAATGAAGTTCTACTCTGCACACATGGGGTCCCCATGAGTTGGAATAACCTCAACACTAACCAACAACCATAGCATTGGAAATTAAATGGAAACACTAGAGGAGACATTTTGAGGAAAAATCTTATAGAGCTTTGAAATTTAAAATGGCAGGGATTTGAAAGAGTTGGATATAGAGGATATAGCATAGGTATCTGTGTGAATGTAATTCCCACAAATAGCAATAGATTAAATAAGGAGTAGATTAGGTTAGTTTTATTAGGTTGAGAAATAAGGACTGGAGAAAAGTTAGCCATTCCTCTATAGTAATAGTTGAAGATAGATAAGAGGCAATCTTGGAGGGAAAAAAGGTAAAAACATGGGGACAGATGTCACAAATCTTAAGAAAGCCCACACTTAGGAGCAGGGAGAGAAAAGAAGAGCCAACTAAGGAGAAAGAGAAGTAGGAGTCAGAGAGATTTAAAAAAAAAAAAAAAACTAAGAAAGTGAAAAATCACTTAAGCTCAGGAAGAAGTTCTAGGAGGGGTGATAATCCCCCGTCGAAATGCTGCAGGGATGACAGTCAAGTTTCTAACTATGGCTTACTTTACAAGGCCACACATCCCCTACTGCTTTCTGCTCTTGTATTACAGATCTGCTTTTCTGTAAGAGATATTTCCTGGCCTTCAAAAAAAAAAAGGCTTTTAATATTGTTTACAGTGCTAGTGGCCCCTAGATCTGTCACTTACATTACCTTTAGGCCTGTTCTTAGAATAATGGTATCTTTGGGGTTGTGATTATTCTATTTGTGTTCTGGTTTTGATTTATATAGGTAAAAAATCTTTTTCCTAAGACCTTGTAAAATCTCAACATAATTATAGAACAGTTTGGCTTCTGTATCTTTTTTGGCACCAACCTCAAAAGCTCTTTCGCATACGCCTTTACTGTAAACTTCTGATACGGGGTAGACTCTCTAATAGATGGGCTTTTTATCCCTAAATTGATGTTTTTCCCCTTCAAATCACCTTCTTCTAGACAGCAGGTGCATTAATGGTTGTGCAACTTTGGGGAGTCCCTTTAGGGAATTTCCTGTTTTTCCCTTTTACATTTCACACCCATTCCTTGCTCCTGCCGCTACCATCTGCTATCTTTTTTCTCCTCTTCAGCATTGGCTTCTTCACACCCCACTCCCACGCCCCTTTCCATCTCCCTCCGTCTGTCCAACAGCCCTGTACATAGATTGCTCCAATGCTTGTACATGGATCGGAGAACTTCCTCTTTTCTAGCAACTGACTGAGCTCAAAGGAGACAAAATTTACACAGCCTTTAACCAAGGTCTCTGTGAACTTGATAAACATAATAAATAGACACAACATAGGTGATTTCTTAAATTTATGAAACGGGACAAATGTTTCAGTAGTAACTTGCCAGAGCCCTACATTTTTGGACATGTACTTCATGTAAGTGCCAAAGCTAAATCTTTACCAGGGTATGAATTAAGTTTAGTTACCCTTGAGTTTTAACAGCTATAAGAGAAAATACACTCACCTAAAGTTAAACTGCAAATCAAAGCACAGTGTTTATTGTAACTGAATACAATCAGCTGAATGGTATACTGCCTAACAATAAAATTTGGTGTTGAAATTATCTTAGGAATCTAGTTCTAAAAATTTGGAGAGTATAGCGGAAAGGTTCCTTCCAAGGGCTGGAGGACCTCTTGGAATTTTTTTCTTTTTTTTTTTTTTTAAATATGTGGTAAATTTGCATAATTATATTTAAAATAGAATTTTGAATAAATGTAATGTATGCCATTGACATACCATTTACATAATCTGGAGAGATGAACTCTTCACTCTTAAAGGTTAGCACAGTGTGGGTTTGAATCTCTGACTGTTTTAGTATCTGAATATTTGACTGTTTTATCCTTTATAGCCACTTTTTTAGATGATTTCAGAGCTAAGTTCTCTGAGCAGTTTTAGAAGAAACTCTTTTTTGTAAGAATTACTGACATTTCCTAGCTATTAAAAGTGACAAGGCAGAACTTAGAGGGACCACCACCTCCATTTATTTGAAAATAAGAAACTTTGCACTCTCCACTTTGTAACTGGGGTATTTGACCAATGATCAATTCTCCTACCTCAGCGCCTCTCCCTCAGTTCACACTATGTATCCAGAGAAGAGTTAAATTGAGACTTGGGATATGGATATTGCTAGTACATGTGTCATTTGTATATGTTTATGTAAATACACTTTGTTTTAAAAATGCTGGTGTCTGTTACAGGATATAAAAGAAGCAGAAAAATCTCTACAGACCAGGATTCACCCACTTCCACGGCCTGAGGTGGCTTCTCTTGAGGTGAGTATCTTAACAAATGTTAAAAAGAGAGACCCTATCCTGTCAGTGGTGCATTCTAAATTAGACAACAGTTATATGTAGTTCTCCTCAGTAACACATGGGGTTGCCATGAGTCAGAATTGCCTTCATCGCCCAAGACAACAATGTGTGTATTTCCCAGATTGATTTATTCACTAAGGTAGGATGTGTCTGATTGATCTTTATATCCAAAATGCCATGTTTTATGTATACTGGGTAAATGATAACTATTTTGATTTATCATTTTTTTTATCAAGTGGAAATTTTATAAAGATCCTGTGTCTTTCTTTTCATCTAGTCAATTGGAAGCAAGTATCATGAAAGAAAATAAGCACTAAATTTTAAGATGACAGCACACCTAATCAAAGTGCTTTTGGCATTTCAGTCCTTTCACTAGAAATTTAAACAAAGCCACTTAAGTGCCTATTATCATGCAGTATAGCATGGCTTTTGTCTGTTTTATTTTGCTCAATTCAAGAACAGATTGGGAAGATGGTTGGCAAAAATAAACCATATTTGGTATATGGATGTATTTGTGATGAATGTGAACGTACTACATATAGAATAGTTTGAGTTTATATTTTAATGACCTTTCCCAAATACAATTTTGCTTTCTGCCTAACCCAGAACATGAAGACTCAAAATTAAAGGCTGAGAATCTGCCCTTCATGTTCTCTGTCATCTAGGGTAATAAGAAAAGGCAGTGGTCAAGGATTGAAAAAACTTTGGTACAAAGTTGTGCCTTAGACATGTCTTTTTCTCTGTTGAATTCTCCAATACCTTACGGCAGCTGTGTGTGTGTGTGGGGGGCACACAATAGGGGTTAATCCAGCTGTGAATGGCTGAGAAACTCCCAACCACAGGCCTCAGTCAGCATTTTTCTTAGCTAGCCTTGCCCAGCAGGATGACCTTTATTTTAAGTATGTCAGGCTAGTTCTCAGACCCCATGCACAGTTGTATAGATATGTAGACTCCCTCACCATTTTCCACCCGCAGAACCTTGTACCTTTTGAATGCCCATAGTGGATAATTATGTGTTTCTAATGATACTTCCTTGGAAACCCAAAGAGGGGTCGCTATGAGTTGAATCGACTCGACTGCAGTGATTTTGGTGTTTGGTTTTTAAAACTATTCGATTGTTTGGCTGAATTTCCCAAAATAAGGTTGACAGTGATGATCTAATATAAAATGCCTTTGTGGTTGGCAATTTGGTTCTAAACTCATATACATGATATGGTGATATTGCATATGCTTCTGTGGCCTATAAATTACTAGAGTCAGGCCAATAAATAATACAGCATCTCAATTTTCAAGTTGTTTGTATTGAAAATGATTAGATGATATTGACAGAGTGAACCCCGTGAGAGCCAGAACTCCATAGGACTGCCTTGTTTTTCTGGGTCTCAAAAGTTTTCCACCTTTGACGGGGTACAGACTTACCACTTTTCTATCACTTGTTTTAGTGGAAAATATTTGAGTTTTCCTTTTCTGACAGGTTTCCACCTTACACAAGTACTGGCTTTCACAGGTTTTACTGTATTATTTTCTTATCATAAAACAAAATTGGGAAGAAATTAGATTTGTCAAACCAGATATTCTTCTAAAAGGTAGAGTAGATACATATTGTTCCTATTTTTCCCCCACACGACTGGGGGGCACCTGAACTGATACTATCACATAGCTAGATACTAGATATACATACTAGCTACATACTAACCAATCTCATCATAGGTAAAAATCTTTTGATGCTAAATTCTGAAATGTGTTTGTATTTAATCATTTCCTTATAATGATTGTGGTATAGATAATAATTTGGTATAGGATTTGGAACACTAAACAAAAACATTTAATTATGATAGGGTCACTATGAGTTGGAATCTACTGATGGCACTGGGTTGGGTTTTGGTCCAGGTTTTGGGTAGCCACAAATGATACTACTGGCAGTAATCACAAGGTTGGCCACAAGAGGGCGTGTCAAATCACAATAAAATCTCAAAAGTTGTAATTCTGCCAGCTTCTGGTTTTACTGAGAAATTTGAAAATTAACACTAGTAAGTAGCCATATTTTTTCTAAAATTAACATAAAGTGTTCTGTAGAGGAAGTGCATTCTACATATATGTGTGTGCGTGTGCGTGTGCATGTGTACATGCACATATACCCTTAAGTGAATAAACATTTAAACTATTATAAAGAGCCAAGTTCAGTTGCTTGAGATACTTTTTTTACTTTTGGGTTTGTTTTCTTCCAGGCTCGTTACTGGGCATCAGTAGAAGAATATATTCCCAAATGGGAACAGTTTCTTTTAGGAAGAGCACCATATCCTATCCATGTTGAAAATCAAAATGGAGCAGAAAATACCACTCAAAAAGAAGTACAGCAATAACTGTTCACATGCTATTTCAAAAAACCTGTGAAGTAAAGCTTAATATAAAAGAATATGCAGGTTATTTCAGGAACTTTGGAAATCGAATACTTCCATATGGTTCTGTTACCTTCAAAGTGACAATGAAAATAAGAGAATCTGCTGGAAAGTGTCAGGTTATCACTGAGAGACTTACTACTATTTCAAGATCATCAATTTGCTTTCTGTTAAGCCCATGGAAGTGATGAGAACTAATACTGAAAAATGGACTGTTTATTAATTAAATGATCAAATGAGGGTCATGTGTGTGGCTTAAAAATTTATATATTCTCATCTAAACTAAAAACTGGCTGTCGATTCTGATTCTATGTTTTTTAGAGTCTTTACTTTCCAACCATTTTACTATGAGGATGAGGTAGAGGATCAAGATGGTTGTTTGCTGATACAGTTTCTTTGAATAAATGAAAAGACAGTGGCCTTTAGCTGTTACAGTATAATAAAAATACTTATCAGAAAATAGGTTCATAAGATTTTATACCTCACAGATGATCACACCTCTAAAAGTTCAGGAGACAGAAAGGACTGAACATTCTGTAAGTAGCCAGTTCCAGGAGTGCTTATGCTTAGTTTTGAACAAGGGTACCTGCTAGAGCTTGGGAAGGATTATTGAATTTTAACTTGTTTTTTAACGATTGCCAACCTTACGAATACAAACAACTACACTTACCCCATCTTTTCATCTCTAAAATCTCTAAACTTCCCCCTCCCACTCCCTTCTATTTTCTTTATTTCTAAAATAGCTATCAGTCAGGAAGTTTTGGATCACAGCCCTAAACAGCCTTAGTTCACCTGTTTGAGCACTAACATTTAGAGAGAGAGAGACAACTTCTGTTAGCAAATGGAGTCTATGCTATATTAAAATTAAAGATTTTAAATTCCTAAATGGTTTGTGTTTGTAAATGAAGATAATAGAACAAACTTAAAAAAAGCTATGTTGAAATGTTCATTGCGCTGATGAGTTCCTTTAAACTGCCATCTTGGAAATATCCTGTTGAGTGGGTGTTGGTGTGGGTAACAATAACATTGTTTTCATAATATGTGCTGGCAGATTAGCACACTTCTCTACAGTGTTAACAGTTGTAATTAAGGAATAAACACCACAGGGTGTCAGTCCGATGACAATTTCATCTATAGTGTCACAATACAAAATGTCATCAAATATTAGAACTGCTATATAACTATAAGAAGTACCAGCTTAAAAGCCTTTAAGAAAGGAAGAAGAAAGAAAAATGGCATAGAAAGCAAAACAACTTTATACCTTCTCAAGAATGTTTTGTCATAAAGATAAATTGATATATATTTTTTTTCCTGTTATATTACAGTTTGGTTTCTAGCCATCCAGTTGATTTAGCAGAAGAATGCAGATTTTTTTCCCCCTTAGCAGCTTTGAATTGGTAAACAGATTTAGATGTAGTAGAAAGGAACATGAGGAAGTTATTTTGTTTTTTTTGTTTCTTTTTTTTTACCATCCAATCTTTACCAGCATATGCACATAAGAAGGTGAATGAAGCATGTGAAACTTATTTCTCTTTAGTTAAGACAGAAGAAAAAAAAAGGCTAAACATTTGTTGAGATGGTAAAATATTGTGTCATGCAAGTAGGCACATTCCAAAATTAAATTGTGGTTGATACGTTAACGTCCTCAAATATTTGAGCATACACTTCCTTTCAGATCTGTAAATTAAATCACCAGCAGGTTAGATTAAAATATAAAATGAATGGCAACCTAACCATCTCAGGAAAGGTTGGTTTTTTCCCTCCCCTAAATTAACAATTTGCTAAATAGTTAAAAAGAGAAACATACATTTAATATACTCTGGGTTACAATTTAGGCCAGAAGGGAAGGTATTTATTTACACACTTCAGCTATACCATTTTTTCATTTCTAGTTAATAGCTCAAATACTCCCAGAGATGACTTATTCCTAGCCCCTACAGATCTTTTCTACCCCCTCTTTTTAGATTGTAACAGATTGCACCACATGGTGTATGTTTTAATTTTTTTTTTTTTTAACCCATAGGGACCTGGACACCCCATTAAAGGGCTTTATATCCCTTGTGGTAAATTAGTCTCACATAGGAATTTTCAAATACAGCTTTCCATGAGGAAGAGAGAAATAGATAACATATTTTTGTACACAATTAGTAGGGATCAGAAAAGAAAAAAGAAATGTCATCTGCTCATAGTTTCCCCCTAAATCAGTGCCCTTATCCTACACTTTATTGTATCTACTGTTCTCCGTGAACACTGTGAAATTTGTATTTTTCAGAATAATGGAATTTTCAAAATAAAGGTCGTTCCAAGAACTTGTCTGCAGAGTTTTTCTTAGATTGTTGCAATTGCATAAATATGCAAAGCTCATTTTCTGTTGAGACACGTCTGGTATATGAAATTATTAAATTATAGAATGCTAAAGATCAGAAGGAGCTGCAGCTTTTCTCCAAACCTCTAAAGATACATTTTAACTACTGAAGAAAAAGCATAATACTCTGGAAACCTGACATCTGGTCTGGCTTGTCTGTAGGGAGCAGCATAAATGACAGTGATGTGAAATGGACGCAATTTTTCTCTGCTTTATGCACAAGGTCTTTGGTCAATTTAAGGGTTGAGGATAATAATCTTTAGCTTCCTTTACCACTTTAGTTTTTTGCCTCATTCCCCTGTTTCATAACAATAATGCTTTAAACCCAGCTTATGAACGTCCAACTTATGGACAACTCTTACTTTCACCTCCCTTTGAATCATTGAAAAGGCTTTTTCTTGCACTGAAGTAAGGCTTAATAAGAAAGAACCATATGCACCTGTTCCAACTTACATACAAATTCAACTTAAAGGCACACTTAGAAATTGACCTTGTTTGTGTCCCAGGGATTGCCTATAACAACAAAACAGATATGTGGATGTATTTATCTTTTAATTATAATTAAACTTATTTGGAGATTTTTTTTTTTTTCACTTTTGAGATAATTAAAGACTCCCTGCAGGTGAGGTGGAAACCAGGGTTTGCAATTACCAGTTTCTAACCAGAGGAAAACATTAAGCTTTAGCTATAAGGTAGGTCGTGGTCTTAATGTGTGAAATTGAAAGCATAAGGCTATGAATTTGGCTTATCTACAAAATACATTCTTTTTCCTTCCTTAGTCTATTAATTTGTCTTTTTACTGGAAGCCAATTCTCACCTTTTTGTTTTTTTAAAAAAAGTTTTATTTTTTAAAAGTCTTAAATCCCACTGATTTCAAAATTCTCCACCCCCTTTCAAAATTTGCCCCCAAACAATCGCTGCATGGCTTAAAACACTCTTCATTTCAGCAGTCCCCTATTTTGACCTCTTCCACTCTGATTAGGATACTGAGATATCTTTTTTAAGAATTGCTGACTAAAATCTAGTCAACAGGGAAGGTTACAACTAGGTGGTGATTTCAAACAGCAAAAAATTCTGGAAAATAGGAAGGAAATGGGGGTGGAGTGATGTTGGGTGGGGTGGAGGAGGGACTTTGAAAAAGTTTCAAGTTGGAACAAGGAATTTTCCTTTCTTTCTGAATGGTGTTTTTGTTTGTTTTTCTTATAATTTAGAAGTTAATTTGTCTGCAAAGAAATTTAATTCCTCACCGCTAATAAGAGAATGTTTAATGTTTTCTGTGACAAACATGGGATATGTCAAACTTTGGCAATTAAGGGGATTGGTTTGTGGATTTCACACCTGCACTGTGATTTCCCTTCTAAATGGAACTGAGATAATATCCTTACTAAGATGTTACAAAAAGAAAATGTTTCCAACAAAGACAGAAAACTAAAAATGTTTCCAGATATCATGTTACCTCTCAGAATCAAGTTCCCTGCTTGCAAGAAAAAAGGACCTGGTTCTTTTAAGTTACAGCAAGTTGTTGTTTTTAAAGTTCTTGCTATTTTAAAAACTGATTTGTGTCTAAGACAGTAACAGAGAATAGAACTCTGCTAAAGTAGTATTTAGAGTAACTGCAGTTAAAAAAAATCAGTAAATACTTGTATTTAGAGGTATCAATATAATATTCTTATTTTAGAAAGTGATAATTTGTTTCTTTTTCATGATAATTGATCACATATTAGCTTGTAACCTGACCTCCACTGTGAAGATCTAAGAATTTTTATTATTCCTTCCTGAGTCTAGTTATCAATGTAGAAGTTTTTCTAATGTTTTATACTACACTGATTTAGAGGCAATACAATCAAATAGAGACAAATTCCTTTCCTATATTTTGCCTATTTCATCTCTATCTCCTTTCATCCCCTCGATTTTAAAAGCTCAGATTTTTTAGTAAGAGTTAAGTAATTAAGAAAATAATTATTTTCATATTTTCTTTCCAGTAATTTGTTGTTGTTGTTGTTTGCCATCGAGTCGGCCCCGACTCATAGCGACCCCTCCTTGGGTTTCCGAGGCAGTATCACTACGGATGTAGGATTTCCCAACCAATTTATAAGGTCTATAATGCTTATATGGGAGCTCTGGTAGCATAGTGGCTAAGGCACTTGACTGCTAACCAGAAGGCTGGTGGTTCAAACCCACCAGCCACTCCTCGGAAGGAAGACAACAACAACAACAACAACATAATGCTTATATAAGGAGCTCTGGTGGTGTTGTGCCTAAGGCATTTGACTGCTAACCAGAAGGTTGGTGGTTTAAACCCACTGCCACTCCACAGAAGGAAGACTGGGCAATCTACTTCTGTAAAGATTTACAACCTCGGAAACCCACAAGGGGTCACTATGAGTCGAAATGGACTCGATGGCAATGAGTTTGGTTTGTTTGATTATGACATTTATAAAGGATTTATAAGTTGTGGTGGTACAATGGTTGAGCACTGAGCTGCTAACTGAATGATCCAAACCCCCTCAGTGGCACTGCAGAAGAAAAGGCCTGGCAATGTACTTGCATAAAGACAGCTAAGAAAACCCTATGGGGCAGTTCTACTCTGTCATATGGAGTAACTATGAGTAAGAATCGACTCAGTGGTGCCCCAAAACAACACAGCATAACACTTACAAACATTCTTGTACTGGATATTCTACTCCACGAAAACTCAAACACTGAGATGTTCAAAAGAAACCAAATCTAGAACTTTTTCAAACGATACTCAGAAAACATGGACATGGGTAATATTTGAGCAGCATTCATTTGTTCAATGTATTTTATTGACTGCCTACTGTGTACCATGCACAGTACAAATGATCGGCACTCCACTACTAGC